CGCAGACTTATTCAGTAATATTGAGATCCTTTGTCAGGTCATATATAGTAATCACCGCAATTTTAATCGTAGTTATCTAAGTGAAAATTGTGATTTTTAAACCTTTTTAGGTTTTGATTTGCGACTTGTTGGTGGAACTCATAATAACAGTGGTCGTCTTGAAATAAGAGTCAAGGGACAATGGGGCACAGTTTGTGAYAAGGGCTGGGATATCAATGCTTCGAATGTCGCTTGTAGAATGCTTGGATTTGCAAGAGCCCTGAAATTCCAAAAGTTTCAGCAGGGAAACACAGCACAACCAATTTGGCTTCAAAACATATCATGCGTTGGCTGCGAAAGGTCTCTTGACGATTGCTATCATCCTGTGTGGGGTTCAAAATCTACCTGCGACCACAGTAATGACATTGGATTAGTTTGTCTCCCAGACGGTAACTAGACTTTTCGACTCTTATTCTTGAGGTTGCGGGGCACCTGAGCCATGAAGACAATAAAACAATAGCTGAGAACAATGAGTTTGAAGCTAAACAATTCACCATTTACCATACTTCGTTTCACTGCTCAAACACAAAGCGCTCAAGCGAGGCGCCAAGGTACTTAATTTCAAAGGATTATTCAAATTTGAACCTTGCAACTTCGACTGTATGCTTAGTGTTTGACCAGTGAACCGATGTATGGAAAATGGCGAATACCCTGCAATACAATAACCCTAACCCAAAATACAATACATCCTGCAACACCCGACTTTTTGTGTTTACTTCGTATACAGTAAAAAATATTTGTCATAAAACAGGGGATTTGGCTCAAATTTTGGTGCACTTTTCCTTCAATATCAGCAACCTATGAATCGAAATCCTGAAAATACTGCAAATATTTGCGCTTTTTTTTTTTTTTTTTTGTCTCCAGGGCCACCAAACCTCTCCGCCAAAGTGATGGCGGATGGAAGAATTGAGATTAGTTACTATGGAGTTAACAGATCCATTTGCTACGATGGCCTTGATACGAAAGATGCATGGGTAATATGTAGAATGAATGGATATAACGATGTTGCGTACATTACCCAAATCCCTAGTCAAGCAGGAAACCCAAGGACAGAAGAAGTATGGCTTTTAAATATGGCTTGCAATGGATACGAGAAGTCCATCAAAGAATGCAGTAATTCCTGGAACTGGGAAAACAAGAATTGTGAAAAAAATAACAACCTACGAGCTGGTATTGTGTGTAAGAGAGGTATGAACAAAGACCTTTGATTTCTAGATTTAAAAATTCCTTTTTCCTTGATGATAATTTTTGACATAATATGTGTTCAGTTAAAGATCCACTAGATGTTGAGTTCCGTCTTGAGGACGTGACCACTGCAGCTCCATATTCTGGACGCCTAACTGTGAAATATTATAGAATCTGGGGAAATATATGTGCTAAGGATTTAAAGCTAGAGGACGCACATGTGATCTGCAAAATGCTAAACTTTACCGGAGCACTGACTATTTCTCATTGGGGTAAACATACTGGTAACTTAAGTTTTGAGCTTGTCAATCACTGCAAAGGAACAGAAACTTCCATGAAAGAGTGCCAAGGTTTAAAGCTAGAACAGGTTAACACATGTGAAGGAGACAATTACGCCGGGGTTGTTTGCACTCCAAAAACTGTAGGTAAGTTCTGTCATCTGTTTAGCCAGAAAATAGAAGATGATAAATAGATTCTTTATGCAAACAATTTTGTTTACCTCTACAGGCACACCAACACCCTTACCTCAGAATGTACGTCTCAGAGGTGGTTCAGACAATGCAAGAGGCCGAGTTGAAGTGAAAAGACACAAAGTTTGGGGAACGGTTTGCAATTCGGGATGGGACATGCGTGAAGCTAATGTAGTATGTCGTATGAGAGGTTTTGATAGCGCAGTTACAGCTTATAAGTCATATGGCGAAGGAACTGGGCCAATATGGATGTCTGGGCTTCAATGCAAAGGAAGTGAAAACAATATTGAGAAATGCACTAGTGATGGGCAGGAAAAGACAACTTTATGTAACCATGGCATGGATGCTGGAGTGGTCTGCCGTCGTTATAAAGGTCAGAGACTAGAAAACTTGTTAAAAACCTTCCATGAATGACTTCAGAGTATTAACTTCTCAGTAATCAATTCTATTAACGTTAACACAGATATAATAACAGTCGATCTGGAAAATCGAACATCAGACTATGATGGCAGAGTGACGTTAAAGGTAAAGGGTAGTGCAGGATCAATTTGTGGTAATGGTTGGAACAAAAAGGAAGCAGATGTCGCTTGTCAAATGGAAGGATTTAAACAAGCTTTAGTACCCATCAGCCATTTTGGAGGAGGACCAGCCAAAATCTGGTTGTCAAACGTACGCTGTAGCAATAGCGACAAATCACTGAAAGAGTGTAATCATGATGGATGGATAGACAACTCATGTCCTAAAAATCACCATGCAGGAGTGATATGTGAACGGCCTGGAGGTTTGTCAAAATCCTTTAAATTATCATCTCTTAAATGCTGTGACTCGTTTTGAATGTCTCAATGTATTGATTCCTTTTGTTTTATCGCAACAGTCAACGACCCAAATTTTGGTATGAGATTGGTTAAAGTACCAGGAACAATCCTAAGTAAAGTTGAAGTCCAGTACTATGGTGTTTGGGGAGCTGTGTCTGCAAACAACTGGAATCTGGCTGACGCTAATGTTGCGTGCTGGAGAAACAACTCAGGAAAAGCATCAACAGCAGGAAGTCTTATGAACGATGAAAAACTTCCCATTCTTATAGATAATCTTGATTGCCGAGGAAGCGAAAATTCAATAGAAGATTGTGGTTTTAAATGGGGTATCTCTGGTGCTAAACAGTCCAAAGTAGCTGCAGTTGGATGCACCCCAGTTACAATTGGTATATACAAATATAGATTTCTTGCTTGCATACCCTTAAATGTATTTCGAGATCTAATAATTACTTATATTCATTTACAAACAGACGATAAAAACTCAATGACAGCGGCAATAGGACCTGGACAGAATACAGGACTTGGACAAGTGGAAATACGATACAAAACTAACGACTATGCTGTTTGTGGTGATGACAGATGGGACATAAAAGATGCAGATGTGATCTGCAGGATGAACAATTTTAAATACGGCGCAATGGCAGCGATAAGAAAATACACAATTGATCCAAAGAAGCCATTCCTTACAGGATTTGAATGTCGTGGCACTGAAACTGGATTAGACGAGTGTTTCCGTGTTCAATCTTGGACTTGTTCAGGAAACTTCATCGCAGGTGTTATGTGTAAACCAAATACAGGTAATGAATATAGAACCATTTGTAAGGTAGGCACGTGAAATATTTAATTAAAATATTCCCTTTGTGTTTTAAGGTGTACGGCCACAAATGAAACTGCGGTTAGCAGATAATGGACGTGTAGAGGTATCGTATGGTAATAAATGGGGAACAATATGCAATGACGGTAACAGCCAGCAAAATGCTCGGGTCATATGTCGCATGCTCGGGTATGTCGATTTTGGTGTGTATGGTTCAACGTCCAAAACAAGTGGCCTAATCTCTTGGCTTGGAAACATGCAATGCAGAGGAACTGAAAAGTCCATTGAAGATTGCAAACCTAGGTGGGGAGAAGCAACTTGTAATGATGACAAAATGCTTAGAGTCACTTGCAAGATAGGTAATATCACTATTGCATACACAACTTAATTGTGCAAGTGTTTGTGTTTGATTCCTTATGGAGGTTTTTCATTTTGCAGCTGATGCTCCTCACTTCCAAATCCTTGGGAACGATGCTATTGCCGAATCAACTGTCAAAATCCACTTTCAGAACCTTGGATCCATTTTAGGCTTAAAAGCGTTTGTATCAAAACAAAAAACCATCTTATACACTCAACATCATATTTGACAGAAATAGGTATAATTAATCTTTTTTTGTTTGTTTGTTTGTAGCATCTATCAAATTGCTGTTGAAAGGAGACCATACGAAGAGCGTCTCCAATCCTTTAATACTCAACAAAAGCGCTTCGAATTTAAGATAATAAATTACACCACAAGTGCTAACCTTAAACACGAATCTTACATTACCGCTGAAATAGATAGTTCATATCTACTCAAGAACAACTTTACCATTGGTGACCTCAGTTTTACCCACGGAAATGATGGGTTTACTAATGAGCCGCTTCAGCCAGAGACACCATACAGAGTATATGTGAGGATCGCAACTGACTCTCATGATAAGGTTTGTACTTCATACTTCCTTATCTCATGTATAAAAAGCACTATTGTAATATTCAAATAACTCTTTGTTGCAATTTATGTTGAATTTTACCTTTTTCTTATTGAAGACAAGGATTTATGGCGATTATTCTTTCGTGGCCTTCAAAACAAACAAAGTCTTTATTAAAGGTAAAAAGTGRATTGATAACTTGTTACTTTGTCTCAGTTATTCTTCCCGTTTTGCCGTTCTTAAAAGCATGAAACACATCTTTTGTTTAATCTGTAGGTCGAGCTAAAAAATCAACCTCAAGAAGTGATGGAGCAGTGATAGGAATGTCTATTCTAATAATAATATTGATTGCTGTTATCATCGGTGGCTCTGTCTGGTTCTTCAGAAGACAAAGGAATGAGGAAGTGCATGCTTCTGATAAAAGTCAAGGTAGCCACACTTTTAAATCATATTTTTGTAATCTCTTATTAATGAAAACCACTACATCTGAATCAAATATTTCATTTCTGTTAGGACTTGAGATGACAGACTCTCCCGCAGAAAAAGATAATAAAGCTGGCAATTAGTTTTTGGTAACTCGTACACGGGTATGTCCCATTGAAAAATTCAAACGCTTAATCATATATGATTGTTATCGTATATTTAATCCACAGATTGCTCGTAACAAGCAAGAAAACGAGTCTCCTTTGTACGTTGAAATCTCGAATGAGCCGCAATTAAGCTAAAAATCATAGTTTCTCGTAAATGAATTTAGAAAATTGCGTGCTTTGTTTTATTTTCATTAACAGAATAATATAAAAGAGAATCTAATAGGAGTTTGAACAAGCTAGGGAAATAGCGCTGTAAACAGTGCTGTTACAGGCTAGGTCATCTGGTGTCTCTGAAGGTAGACACAGGGACCCCAGTAACAATGTTCTTACTCATTCACAATCTACTTGTTTACTCCATATTTTTCAGATTTTCGTAATATTGGTTGCCATTCATTAAATAAATAGTTAAAATATAACCAAAAGGAAAACTATTGAAATTCACAATTGAATTAATTAGGGTACTTAAAATAATGAGGGTATAAAATGAAGGTGTACATTTTGTAAGCATAATGGTTGTTAATGTCGTTTTAATTAGTCTCATTAATAAACATAACAATGAAATGGAGGACATGTGGGGACACTAGAGAAAAACGTTTGCGCATGCGTGCACTTCAGCACGTTTTCTAAGAATTTTGAAGAGTTCGAGTGAGAAAATAAATGTTTGTTTTCTCCAAGTATACAAAAAAGTTCGGGAGTATACTTTTGTCAGACTAAGATACTGTATTAACAAACACAATATGAAAGAATTAGCCTTAAATTTCAAGCATGGACACTAAGTTTTGGCATTTTGTGAAGTCCAATTTATCAGGCATGTTTGAAGTCAAATTTACTTATGTTTTGGCTGAATTTGCAAACGGATTCAGAGCATGCGCAGACGTTTTTCACTCGTGTCGAGGATGGGAGGCAAGGGCAAGGCAATAGATCCCTTGGAGCACGTCAGAATGCAGTTCCATTTGGGGAACATAAGGGGTTTCCAATATTCTCAGGTGATTGAAATTCTTTTGTTTTGTCCTCCAAATTGAGCTGCTTTAACGTCGTCGCATGCCAGGGGACGATCGCTGACTATGAATGTCGGCTCAACTTTTCTTACGGCTTGTTCACGTCTTCTATTTCCAAAAGTTTAGTTGTTCGACAAATGAAAATAGAATATGATTCAAGATTCGAAGATGTATATGATATTAAGATAAGATGATTAATATCCAGCCAGTAAAGTCCTCCACTGGTTATAAAATGTAAAGCGCATTGAGATATTTGAAATGCGCTATTTAAGAAACTCCCCTGATTATTATTATTGTTATGTATAACCATTCTTGAAGATTTGACTTGCTTGGTTCCCGTTGGTATGTTTGTTTATCCTTTTGGCCAATAAGAGTTCGTTGCTAAGTTATTTTCAACAGCCAATTAAATTCGATAGAATTTCAGGGTTTCCCAGAGCCACCGATTTTCGATATCAGGAGGCTGGGTACGAGAATGTTCCAAATCTGGCGAAATTTCCGCGCGAACCGCAAAACGTTTTTTCTTGATAACTTTTCAATCGAGACATTGAAGGACTTGCTTATCTTCATATCTATACACACTCTATGGTGATTTTTATAATCCCCCACGCACTAATCGCAAAACGACAGCCGCTTTGAAACCGCAACCTTTTGTTTTGCCTAGTGGGAGTTCCAACCGCCACCAGGTTGGCTCAGTTGGTGTGCGGGAGGTCGTGGGTTCAAGCCCTACAATTTACAATCATGAGAGGTGGTTAGTATGAGGTGTATCACTGAGGACGTAATAAAACTCTGGCAGTGGCCATCCTCAGTGCTATACCTCATACTAACCATTTCTCATGCTTGTTAATTACATAAAAGCAATCTGTCATTCACAACTCAATGCAAAGTGCCTTTGATTATAACCATATAGAAAGGGCGCTATATAAATCATAAATCATCATCATCATCATCATCATACGTAAAAAAGTTGCTCTTCGGCTCCTAATGATTATCATATCAGTATCAGGAGCACACACACTGTCATAATCAACAGTAATGGAACTACTATTGCTAAACCTGCGTTTGGCTAACAAGTAGGGTCTGGGAACGAGAATGAGACGGGTGGTGGCTGTGTCACGCATTCCTTTTTTCGTTTTGGTCACTTGAACGAAAACAGAAAGCCGACGGGCAAGAAAGCAAGGAGCTGGAAAAAAGCAAGAGCATACATCACTCCAACAAGGTAAGTTAAAAAAACGGTTGTCGTTCTCGGCATTCGAATCCTTTGGAAATTTTGCTCCTGAGAAGTCGAAGCTGACTTTCAAATCCGTGAATCGAATGGCAGACTGTAATGTCTGGCATCAGCACGGCAACACGCCATGTCTCTGATCTAGAAATGACTTTGGAAGGACTTTTTCCTCCAAACGACAATTATCTTCAAGCTCTTAATGTCGACAGATTTTTCTTTTCCTTTCAAAATGGAAGGGTTTTTTGTAGTGCTTTTTGTAGATAAATTCGATAAGGTGTTCATCTGCAGTCTTGCTTGTGCCGGTCACAAAAGTCATAAAGATCCATATAAATAGTGTTTGAACGAATAGATCAATATGAATGCTTGAAATAAAATGTTAAAAAATGTTAATTTATATTTGCTGCTAGATTATATTTCGTAAGACTTTTATCAGTTCGATTTTTTAATATTTTATGACAAAAACTGGTAACCAGTCGTGTTCCTAAAAACCATTTAGTCAGTTTCGTGCTAGAATGCACGTTCGCACATTGTGAAGTGTTTGTCCAAGCGTGGTGACGTACATACTGACATACATCTTTATACTTCCTTGTAAATACTCTTTTACTTCTAATAACTAGATCAACTGAAATGTATGTTTGTTTCTTCTTAGTTAATAATAGTCTACCTTATTATACCTTAATTATAACAGTAATTCTTCTCATAAATACGATCTTTAATTATGATCACACGTCACGAAATGTTGTCACGAAATTTTACTGATCACGTGATAGAGTTGTTTGATATTTTACAGTGCTAATCGAAAAAGCGTGGGCAAATTTCTATTGTTCTTTGGCCAATCAGAATTGACTTTCTAACCAAAAAATAACGGAAGGATAAATAACGATAACGCTTCTGATTGGTTAAGAAACATTGTTGAAATATTACTGCCCACGGTTTTTGGATTAGCACAAACTTTTTAATATCAGTTTAAGTTCCACTGTTACACTGTATAATCTTTTAAGCAGCTTGTCGCAAATTAATCACCTTTTTCTTGATCTTTTTTTCCATTTGCTGACTTGTAACTCTGAAAGGAAAACAAAAGAGAATTGCAATAGCAAGGAAAATAAAGTTGTGTAAAAATATAGAGTGAAATCAGTTATGCAAGACTCCTGCGTAACTTTTCACCCATTGTATTTTATGTACAGGCAGTAATGGCATCATCCAAACCAATCAAGCTGGTTATCTGTGGTGGAGGCAATGCTGCTCATGCCTGGGCTGGTATAGCTTCATCTCAACCAGACACTGATGTATGTGTTCTAACCTTGTTCCAAGATGAAGCAGAGAGATGGTCTAACTCCCTCAAGGAATACGACTTCACTGTGATCCTCAACAGAAAAGGAGAGTGCTACGAGAAGCTGAAAGCCAAACCAAGACTGGTTACTAAGAAACCAGAGGAGGTAATTCCTGGATGTGATGTCGTCGCTTTTGTCATGCCAGCCTTTGCGCATGAGCAGTACTTAAACGCGATCAAACCACACCTTGAACCAGGCATGATTCTCGTTGGTTTTCCTGGACAGTCTGGGTTTGAGTTTCAGGAACGAGCCATTCTAGGAGATATTGCAAAGCAGATTACTCTCATTAATTTTGAGTCGTTACCATGGGCCACAAGAATTAAGGAATATGGAAAAACCTGTGAAGTACTTGGTACTAAGGATACCACAATGGGTTCTGTGCAGATTGGGTCAGTTACTCCAAGAAGAGATCCATTCACAGTTGTCCAGAAGCTGATTGGTGAAAAGCCAGCCCTAATAACAAAAGGCCATCCTCTTGCAGCCAATCTTATGTCTGCCACTGCATATCTGCACACTAGTGTCTTGTATGGCCAGTGGTCTACTTGGGATGGTACCCCTCTTGACAAGCCACCATTATTTTATCATGGCGTGTCAGAGAGTACTGTGGCATTGTTTGGCAGTTTATCAGATGAAGTGGTTCAGATAGCAAAGGCTATCCAGGCTCAGAGCCCTGATACTGATATGTCAGAGGTAATTGACATGCACACTTACTATAAAGTCCGCTATCCTGATGACATTGAAGACAAAACCTCTCTGCTATCTTGTATCAGAACCAATGCAGCTTACAAGGGCTTGACACACCCAATGAAAGAAACCAAGGAAGGGAAGTTTGTACCCAACTATACCAACTACCGTTTCCTGACTGAGGACATACCATTTGGGCTTGTGGTGATCAGAGGGATTGCAGAGGTAGTGGGTGTGGCCACACCAAATATTGATAAAGTACTCACTTGGTGTCAGGAGCAGATAAACAAGGAATATCTTGTGGATGGGAAGATCCAAGGAAAAGATGTGAAGGATACAAGAGCACCTCAGAGATATGGATTCACTACTCTGAAAGACATTATTGGACACTAGTAGATAATGACATGAGCCATGAATGATACTGGGTCATTGTAGTTGATAGTTGGATAATATAGCAGGACATTGATTTTGAGATGCTGTGTTCAATTTTTGATCCCCCAACTTAAGGAGGGCCATAAATAGATAACTAATAGATTAATTATGTTACCCTAATAAAATAAAGATTAAAGATTAAAAAAATTAATTAATAAAAGGACATAGAAAAATTCTAGGGATACATGATATGCAATTTGCCATTTGCCATTTTGTAGAAAACATATTACATATTATACAGAAATATTTGTATTGAACTTACATTTTRTTATGGCCATAATGTCTTTAGTTGCTGTAGAAAAAGTAGTTAGTAAAAATTATGAGAATTATGTTGGATAAATTATATGAAATTATATCGAACTCGCCCTCGAACCACCCCTCGGTCTGCACCTGTACCACTGTAGTAAAGATTTGATTAACAAACCAAGTTTGGAAAAATGTGTGCTATGAAGTCGGGAGGAGTAGGGTAATGTAAAACAATGTAAACAACAAAAACCTGCAGCACGAGACGAGACAATATTTAGAATCAGTGGGAGTCCCATACGAAAAACGTTGCTATCCGGCTCCTAGTGATTAGGAGTATATCAGTATCAGTAGCACACACATTGTCATATTAACATTAATGGAACTACTATTTGCTAAACCTACGTTTGGCTAACGAGTAGGGTCTGGGAACGAGAATGAGACGTGTGGTGGCTGTGTCACGCATTCCTTTTTTCGTTTTGGTCACTTGAACGAAAACAGAAAGCCGACGGGCAAGAAGGCAAGGAGTTGGAAAAAAAGCAAGAGCCATCACGTCAACAAGGTAAGATAAAAAAACGGTTGTCGTTCTCGGCATTCGAATCCTTTGGAAATTTTGCTCCTGAGAAGTCGAAGCTGACGTTCAAATCCGTGAATCGAATGGCAGACTGCAGTGTCTAGCTAGCATCAGCACGCCATGTGTCTAGCAATGACTTGCAAAGGAATAAATGCAGACTTTGGATTTCCAAGCTCTAAAACTGTTAATGTTTTTTTGTAGTGTTTTCAGTAGATAAACTCGATAAGGTCTTCATTTGCAGTCCTGCTTTCTTGCGCCGGTCTTTATAAAAGTCACAAAGATCCATATAAATAGTGTTTGAACGAATGGATCAATAACGCTTGAAATAAAATGTTAAGAATGCTAATTTATTTTTGCTGCTAGTTTATATTTTGTAACACCTCATCACTTCGTTTTTTCTATTATTTTATTTTATGACAAAAACTGGTAACCAGTAGTGATCTAAAATTTCGTGCAAGTACGCACGCTCGCATATGAAGTGTTTATCCAGGGAGGTGGTTTATCCAAGCGTAATGACAATATTAAATTTCCTAATCTTAATATTTACTTGCTTGTAAATAATCTTTTCTATCTAATACCTTTATAATTATGATTACTGACGTGTGTGTTTGGTTCTTTGTATTTAATAATAGTCTACCTTTTACTGTAAAAACGTTTTAATTATAACACTAACACTTCATATAAACACGATCTTTTTTGATAATCACACGTCTAGACGCCATGTTGTCACGAAATGTTACTGATCACAGGATAAAATTTTCCACGATTGCGTAACATTCCTAACTTTTATCAGAAGATTGATAAAAGATTACAGTCGAATGTCACGTAGTAATACACGAAGTTTTGTAAAAATTTTGTTATAATAACAAGAGAAATTTTTTTTTTTAAAACATTAAGCTGCTGTCACACGGTGCAACATTGCACGCAAGATTTCAAGCAACAAATTCGAATTGGGGTAGCACACTGCAACAAAATCATGCAACATTGCTTGTGTCAACCTGCTTTGTTAACTAGATATTTGGTCAGCAGTTATAAATTTGGTGCAAGCTGATTGGCTGGAAATTTCAAAATGTTGTAGGTAATGTTGCAGCCATGTTCACATGATGAAATTTGTTGCGCGCAACGTTGCAAGAGTAGAGCATGATTCAACTTCGGATTTGTTGCATGCAACAAGTTTTGGGCAGGCACACGCTGCAACAGTCCTGTTGCATGCAATGTTGCATGTAATGTTGCACCGTGTGTCAGCACCTTCAGAGTGCAAATAATATACCCGTGAAATAGATAGCTAGCTAACTGATTACTAACTTTGTGCTCTTGGTTGCCTAAGTCTAATTAGTTAAAGAAATAGGCGAGCCGTGACAGGTAAACTAGTGCACGTGTGCTACTCAAGGGCGTGCATTTTTAAATATTTTTAAACACACTTACAAAAACTGAAACAACATTTTGTTGTTCATGCTTTTCTTTCGTATAATTTTACATGTTTGCATTTTCGTATCTATTCATTTGTGTATTGATTTGTCACTCTAGTAAATGCCTGTGCCCTTGTCATGCCTCACTGAATTCCTGTCTGGTCTAATTAAGAGCTAACTATCTCCTATTTCATCCTAACTATTTCACGGGTATATTATGTGCACCCTATTGAAATTAATTATCCAATTTGATTAGCACATATTGAGCCTGTGTATTTTTGTACAAATTAGCCATTCATTATTGAGTATTTTAAACAACAGAAACTTGACAAATTTTCACAATTTTCACTTCAAAAGCATATATTTTCTTTTATATATACATACATATTTTGTGTTAACTCCAGAATTTGTGACCATCCTGTCATTCATTGTCAAAAATGTGATTTGTGAATTTGGTATATATAAGACTGCAAGCAGTCTCTCTTTTTCCCTCCCTTTCTTCCTTACCTCCCCAGCCCCCTCCCCCAGAGACTTTTGACTTGTAACCAGTCTTCCTCCGTCAATCGACACGGACAGACAGTGACCAAGGGAAATAGAGGGGCTGCTCGCAATCTAGATATATAACAGTAATGATGAAAAGGTAAATTATAC